TCATGGGCAGATGACGTTAGCCACTCACACTCCTTAAGGATGACTGTGTCTTACGTGGATTCAGGTTCAAAGTCTGTTTGTCCATAAACAGCCCCCACCTTTCTGCCCTGTGCCTGTGACTCCTCCTCGGGACAGGAGTCTTCGCCACCCAAGATGGGTCAGCACTGGGCAAAGGTGCTTGTTAAGTTTCTGGCTGGAGAAGGTGGTGCAGCCTGAGTTGAGTCCCTCCTCCTGGTTCATTCCCACAAATGCCCTTTCCTATGGCTCTGCCCCCATCTGCCCAGCTTGCTGGTCACTCCATTCAGCCCTGGCTCATCCATTGCAAAACTGTCCCCTGGTCCCCCCATACAGGGCTCACAAACGTTCAGACCCAGTGCTGCTTGCGTAAAGCTGATATTTGGAAATGTGACTTTCTACCTGGGAGTTAAATTCCTAGAAATATGACCCACCCGTGCATGTCATTTCAGAAATATCAACAGTGTGCCCTGATTTATAGTGTGAAGGAGGACTAAGAGCAAGCCATAAGCTCATGGAGGGGGAGATTGGACCTCCTCCAAGACATGAAGGAGGGACCAGACGCCTGGGAGGTAATGGCCACAGGTGTGCCCTGCAGGTGACTCAGACATCAAAGGCTGCTGGTGACGTGCTTTTCTGAAATGGTGACCAAGTCTTGGTGAACGTCCAAAAGAAGCATAGAACAACTTTCTCTCAACGTACAGGGTGGTTGCTCTCCTGGGAAATCATATGCTTTTCTATGTAAAATGAAGTCAGATTCTAGATAGATGCCAATAATTTCAAACAGGATTTTCACCTACATGAATGGGACGTGGGCCCGTTCTTTGTTGCAGGGCACAAGACAGCTAGTCTTCCTGCCCACTGGTGTTACCAAATGGCCAGTGACTCTGGACAAATTTTCAATGCCAGTGGGGACAGCCTGGAAACTGTCCCCAGGAAAACAAAGAGGTTAGTGGCTTGAGCCACACCCCCAGGTCTGCACTGGGCCTTTGCACACACCATTTGTTGAAGGGGACTCTGCCCTTTCAGCAGGTCTCCACACGTTCCTCATCCCACTTCAACAAAACTACCACATAGAAGACCAGGTGAGGAAACTGCCTCTGCCATCCAGGTGAGTCCTGCAAGGCAGGGCTGTGCCCCAGCATCTGGCTGATTCTGTAAACTGAGGTCACTGCCCATCTCACTTCTCAGGAGACTGAGAGTGAATCAAGTTCAGGGCCAAA